TGTTGTCACCCTGTTGATGACGTCAGCGACGCGGTTTAATCGGGCGCGGCTTAGTCGAGCGCGGTTTTGTCGTGCCAGGGATATATAAATCCCAACCTTCCTATAGCCTTGTTCAATTGTGATCATACTACTAAACGAGGACAGCATAACTATTCATTAATAGTTAATAAATATTGCAAATAAATAATTAAGCAATGCATCTTACCTTTTGTTTATGCAATTCATTTCTCAGTAGATTTTCTATTTTGCAATACAGAGTTTTTCCCGAGTATACAAGTGATAAAAACGCTCCAACAGTTTTGATCTTCATAGAATCAGAAGGGCACAGTACATTGTGGCATTTAGATTCAGTCCACCAATCAAATCATTCTCCAACTGAACCCACACAGTAAAAAGTCCTTTTCTGGGTGATCGATTTCACCTTGACCACTAGGACATTTTCCCATAACATACAATCAGAAATTTCATGGGAAAAAGGACAGCTGAAATTGACTGAATAATGTTAAATAATTATTATTATAATCTTAGAAAGTGTGCACTGAAGTTAATTCGTTTCACATTTGATATATTCCATTGATTGCAGTATGTGAACAATGTTACTCTTTTGTTTTCCCCCTGAAAAAAATAATTCTCTTCCCAACAAAATGCTTAAGACCTAATATTTCTGGCCTAGATATTTGCTTTTTGTCCATTGTTGTTGTTTTGAAAGGAAGAAAGATAAAGAAAACAGCTATCTTTGCATCTGTCCCGGCTGTCCCTCTTTCAAGATCCTCAGGGCTGCTGAAAGCCATTAATACCTCAGCACTTAGCCATCTTTATGGCTATATTTATTTAAATGATTCAGAGAGTTCATGAGAGTAGTTTGGGGACAGGGAACTATTAGTCCAGAAAGAATCTCCCTGATAAAATACTGTATCATTGCAATATTTATTTTGTATCCAGGGAATATATTAGAAGCACATCTACAGCTAGTGCTAAATCAACCAACCCTGCTAAAATAACCAAGCCCTGTGAAAGCTGCTTTGATCAACTTAAAAGTTCTCTTTTTTTTGGTTGCCAAATTGGTTTCAGCTTGCTTCTCTCTGGTGTTCCAATTAGTAATATGTATGCATTAAAAACTAGAAAGAGATGTGTAGGTATTAGTTTAATAGATTCATGCTGGGTATAATCAGGTCATGGTGATTTATTTAACAAGACATAATTTTTGAAACTTTGGTTTAGTTTATGTATGAAAAGGACCATGATTTCATCACATTCACCTAAACTTTGATAGTGACAATTATTGCAAGAAAGCATCAAGTAATTCAGGTTTTTACAGTTTGATTCTGTTCTGATTTTACAAGGGTTTTATATCTTTTCAATTTTATTAACCAGTGCAAATGGTCTTATTGTCTTCAGTTTTAGGGTTTCATTTTGTGCTTCCTTTATGAATTGTTTTTGCAGTCAGAACAGTTATGAAGCAAAACTTTCTTTTTTACTAGGTACTCTTGGCGACATCAAATGCGTGAATTTAAGAGTGAATATCGAGTCGTGGCCTTGGATTTGAGAGGTTATGGAGAAACAGATGCTCCCGCCCACCGAGAGAATTACAAGCTGGATTGTCTGATTACAGATATAAAGGATGTCTTGGAGTTTCTTGGTGTGTGAAGAGCAGCTCTGCTGCCCAATTTATAATAATAACCCTGGAAAAGGGACTAGCTAGATGATAATATATTTCTTTTAACAAAGTCTTTTTTGAGGTGATTGTTGATGTGTATGTATATAGCATATATTCTTTTCTTTCTGTAAATTTAGTTCCTACAATTTATTGTTTCTTTTTTTAAAATTTGGGGGATTTTTAATTGATTTTGTATATCTAGAGCTCAGATGCCAATGCTTAAATGGGTGCAGAATGGTCTTTCCAGATAATGAAGCTCCAGAGCTTAAACCAGTCATGCTGTGAATTGGATAATTGTGATAGGGACCGAAAGGATAGACAATTTCATTTTCCTTCCAATTTGCTATCTTCTTGAAAATAAGCTCTAGCATTTTGGGCTGTGGGGAAAAGCCAAATATCACCTCATTACATTTTCCCACCATAGGGAAGTTCTGCTGGATTCTGGTTCTCTCCCCAAAGGATGAATTCCCCCACCGTAAAAGGTTCGATTTAATGCAAATTAATCTCTTGTTAGCTAAAAACAAAACAAAAAAGTTCTGAATGTTTTTGCTAATTGGAATGCAAATTAGGGGAAATACTTTATAACACAGTAATTATATTTATTTATGGTCAGAATCTCATTTAATGAAACTTCAAACTTTAGGATAATATTCTCATTGAGCACATTCATAGATTTAGTAAGTTACAAGTTCAGTGTGATATAATTGTTCTTGTATACTAGCTACCCGAAATCACCAGGACAGCTATTCCTTTCACATAGAAACAATGTAAACTAGAGCATTTCTCCAAGCGCTTAAATGTTCAGTCGGTGCACAAATGCATATCCACCATGTTATTTTGTTTGATGATAAACCATATTAGAAAAAATAAAAAAGAGTGAGAAGTTGATGTTAGGAGGGCAGGAGATAGTAGAAAACATAAAGAAATCAACAAAGGATAAAACTAAAGGTTTATCATCATGTACTATTAACCATGGCAAGATGATGCTCTTCTTAAAAGTCAGATTTGCATGGGCACCTTTGATTTATTCCTTGCCTACCAACTTAAATTGTTATACAACTGTCCTGGATTTAAAGTAATGTTTTTCATTCTTCTGTTATATATTTTGCCATATACATATCTGTTCTGACCCCCCTCGTCACACACCATAGCACGCCAAGCCAAAGATAATTTACGGAATTTATTAACAGACAGACAGGTCCTTG